TCTTTAAGCCTCAGTTTCCCTATCCGTAAAATCTGGCTAGTAATACCTTCCTGTCAGGAGCATACAGTTGCTATAATTAATAGCTATTTATAGAATCATTGTAGAAAAAAACAACTGTTTGAGAGATGAAAACATCTCTTGATGTGGACAACTTTTGAAGCTTCTGTCTTTTGAGGAAATCAGAATATTAAAAGTTTTAGAGCATAGCCCTAGCTGGTGTAGCTCAGTGGATTGAGTGTTGGCCAGCAAAGCAAGGGGTTGCTGGTTCAATTCCCAGTCAGGGCACATGCCTGGTTTTTGGGCAAGTAGGGGCCATGTGATAGACAACCACACATTGATGTTTCTCTCCCCCTCTCCCTCCCTTCCCTTCTAAAACTAAATAAATAAAATCTTAAAAAAAATTTTTTGGAGCATTGGAGTTTTCTTGCTCCTTGCTTTAAACAGGTTGAGTTCTAAAACCCAGGAAGAAACAAAACAAGACCATTTGTCCTGTTGGTGGTGTTGACCAGGGAGGGAAGAGTTTTACATGCCGTGCGTGTCCTGTGCCTTGACCCGGTGTGTGAGGACCCTTTCAGGCTTCTGGTCTTGAGTGTTCTCTTCTGCCAGCTTTGGACTCAGGCCTCAAGTAGGACAAGTGAGCAGGTCCAGTACCTTTCTATTTTACCTGCTCATGTTTTAAATCTTGGGACACTTTTTTTGTGTTATGTTATCACCATGAAGATAACCATTGGTCATCTGTAGTTCATTTTCTTGACTGGAGAAAAGAGAGACAATGAATAATGTGTTACTTGAGGTCAGCTGTGGTCTGCAGAGACCTGAGTGTCAGGTGTGTGTTGTTGGATGGCTCAGGTCCTGTGGGGGCCTGGGTAGAGCTCTCCTAAGATTTCTCTGGAGTTTGAGAATATGGAAAAGGAGGGAGGGAGAGAGAGAATATGAGAGAGATATCACAAAGGTGTTACTAGTCCTCTCATGTAGTCAAAGGTCACTTTTCAAAAGTTATTAGATATTCCTGGGTAGAACCCTTTCTTACATGGAACTGTTCTGTAGCTTTTAGGTCATATCACTTTGTCCAGTAAAGGTATTTGTTGGATGATCACAAATGCTGGCTCCACGTGCGAAGTGTTCGTTTACACACAAGACAGCTAAGACTAAGGCAGGTCTCACAAAGAGTGGCAAGTTGGGAAAAGCTCCAAGTGTGAAATGGCATCTCCTCTCCTGTCATAATGACAGTAATTATTTAGGCAGGTGGCTGGTGATTTTTTATTTGGGGCATTAATTAGGTATTTGCCTTCAGGAGTAGTCTTAGATACTATTGATCTCATGGTTAATCAACCACTGTAAATTTAAATTGCAAAAGTAATTTTCCTGTTCTCTATTAACTAAGAAACAGTTGAATTTAGACTTAATATTAAGGAAAGATGTTACTCCTGTTTCAGTTTGTCTTTTGGGTAAAGCTTTCCCAGGATGCTGTGTTTAACCTTTTGCTCAATTATATTAATCCAACCTCTTATTTGGTTGTTTCTTTGGACTTTGAAAGAATGGTCACTTATTTTTCATTAAGCCTTGATAAACTGTGTTTGGTGATTTCGAGCCGCTTGGTTCATATAGCACTAACAGATTTGAAGCAGAGCTGATGGAGCAATAGTAGCCTGAAGTATGCTAATAATTTGGTTGACATGCTTCTATTTTAACATCTATGGGGCAAAAGTCTATCAGTGGTTAAAAACTCTACTTTTTTTTTTTTTAACTCCTTTGACAAGACACAGAATGCAGTGTGAGTTTTTTTAATGCTGACTTTGGAAGTGCAGGAAATGCTTATTTGAGTGGACAAAAAATGATGAGGTTTGGACAGTGATGTTATGTTTCACATTCTGTATTTAAAAGATCCTATAACAGCTATGTCTGCTTTGTGGCTAGAGAAAGAAGGAGGGAAGGAGGAAGTCAAGGGGGCAGGGGGAGGGAGGGGGAGAGAGAGAGACAGAGAGATGCTGGGGAGAGGGGGGAGAGAGATAGACACACACACACACACACACACACACACACACACACACACTTGTGTGATACAAAAGGTGAAGTGCCAGGGAGCCTGCCAGGGTGTGAGTCATGTTGCTCAAGGCTCTGTGTGCATGTCCTTCTGCTGCCTTCTCATTCATGTGTGGTGTCAGGGAGAGATCAGTGGGCTGGGGTGTGTCAAATTTTTATTTTTATCTCTCCTTTATTGACAGTGAAAACAGCAAGGAGGTCAGTCTGCTTCAGCAAAGCAAAATGCTTTTATTTAAAATATTTCAGTGCCAAGATGAATATGGTTGGCTCAAATAATGACTTTGGCTTTACTAAGAAGAACTGATATTGGGACACAGGAGATTTGCCTGGTTTCTGAGGTAACTTGGTAGATTATAATCTGGTTGCCATAGCAACTCAGCAGCAAGGAACATTACAGGAACTAAACATTTGAAGGGAGGTATTTTAGAATGATGCTTAAAAACCCTTTACCTATCCTTTTTTCCCCTGAAGTGGGATGAGGCTCTGGAATTGACCTCATCAGAAGAACAGAGAGGAAAGCATAAGTGCCTTTTGGTGGCTGGATACTTCTGGGCCATTCTTTGAATGTGGCCTTGTGTCAGTGACAGCTAAGGAACTGTTACAGACATTTTTTATGCAGTATAATAAGCAGGTAATGTGACAGAATCTGAAAGATACCCGACTAAGCAATCCCTCTTCTTGCCTGGGACCTTAGATACTGCTGGTGAGTTGTACTTTTAGAGCCAGCATTCAGGACCCGTGTGACAGTTATGAGTATGGAGGAACAGTATGAACTTGGGATTATCGAGGAGTATCTGGGACATAGTCTTGGTGCCCAGTGGGTTTTTTTCCCAACTAATTAATTCGATAGGCATATGCAGGGTCCAGCACAAATAAAGCCCCTGTATTATTACAAAACCATAAGCATGTAATTCTGTAATATAACAATGTCACACTTGAGCACACCATATGACATTTTAGGTGACATGTTCAAATTAAAACTGTAGATTATTACACCCACATTATTATCCTACTGACCACACTCAAGCAGGCATTACTTCTGCCGGACGCTGTGTTGTAGGCCTGTCCCTATAGGTATGAACACAAAGTAGGTAGTTTCTGCTCTATTACAGTGATGTTAGAATTGGTCTATGGATTTTTAAAAACACACAGATAATTTTCTTTATTGGAGTATTGTTTCATTCCATTATAATCTAGTTCAATGTTTATATAAAAATAAAGTTAAAATTTTTTATGTTAGGAATGACTTTAAAAGCTCAGTTTCAAGAAAGCAGTCGAAGTGTTTTAATCACTCTATAGACATCAAGAGATTTCCTTTTGAGTTTGTAAAATGGTGAGAGTTTTGAATACTTAAGACTGAAAGATTATTGACACAGTATGGTACAGGGAAAATATATCACCTTGAAATAACTGATACAATTCAAGATAATGAGAAACACCAAGGATGAAGTTTGGACTACATTTTGCTGAGAGGTCCTGTTTTCTCTAGTTAATGTAATCTGAATACATTTTAAAAACTAGAAAGTTATGGTGCATACATAAATAAAGTTGACTTTTTAAATTCATGAAAAGAAAGCTTAATTTTTAAGTTAAAATAATTATTTGCAATGTTTTTTCTTATGTTTTATTACTTTCATTTATTTAGTAAAAATAGTTATTAAGCACTTATTCTATGCCAGGCACAGTTTTGAATACTTATTCTATGCTAAATCTTGTGCTTTTAAAGCCTAAAGAACAATAGGCACCGATATAATTGCTTAATTAATTGATTGCAATTGCAAATTCTAGGAAGGAGAAATGGAGTGTTTGTTTGTTTTTGGAGAACATATATATTGTTGGGGTCCTGACCTTTCCTCAGAGTGAAATGCCAATTTTTAGGCTCACAAGGATGAGTAGGCCTTAGCCGGCTGGGGAAAGAGTGGGGTGGGTAGTAGGCAGAGATGAAGGGGAACAGGAAGGGGGACAGAGATGAAATGGTTGCAGACAGGGTGGATGTGTGTTGATGGTATCAAGGGAGGGAGGAACAAGGCTTGATCTAAGAACTGTAAGATGAATATCACTGACACCTTGTCAATTTCTAGAAAGAGTAATTATTTTATTAGTGTCAGCCTTGCACATTATGATTTTTAAGTACAGTTTTTAAGCCTGGATTACATTCTTTAATTTGTATTTACATATAAATTAGTGATTTTTCCTATTTTATCTAAAGGAACTAAATTAGATTAGAACTAAAACTGTGAGGCTCTGGAAAGAAATACTTTTCCATTGCTGTGTTTGGCCCAGTCCTTTGGAAGTTGTCATTTGTATGTTCACATGACTAAAACACTGAACTTTATGTAATAGATTTAAAAATCTGACTGTAATAGCATAATGAATAAAATATATTTAAAAAATAGATTTAAAAATATGAGTGTTTGGTTGGACGTAGTGGAATATATTTTTATTTTGTACTGTTCATTATTATTTCTAGATCCTATAGAGATACTTTTTTCCAAACCTTTTAAAAGAAATTGCTTTCTGTTGTTACACAAAAGAATTATATAACCCATGTCAGTAATAGATACTTGGGAATAGTATGCAACAGTGTTAGATCAGAATCCCATTTCTCTGTGCTGTTTTCCTTTGTAAGTATGGTTTCTGGTCTTTTTTCTTTTTTAACTGTCATTTCTAAATCAGTGAAAGAGCAAAATGAAAAAGTATCTTAAAATTGAATTTTTTAGTTAAATCACACCATAAGCACAACTGGAGAATTCCTTTAGCTAAATTCAAATGCATATACTTACTGCCCCCACCCCCCTCTGCTTTGAACCAGGTCTAAGACATGTCCTAGGTTTTGTGTTTATACAAGATTTTGTGCCACATACTTCCCGTCTGGTACATGAATTTAGTAATAAAACTTTGAAGGAAAATCCTAGATGTTCTAATATTAAATTGAAATTAATGTGTTACTTTGGCAGGTTATTCTCGTTCAAGTTAATCCAGGTGAGACTTTTACAATAAGAGCGGAGGATGGAACACTTCAGTGCATCCAAGGTAAGAAGTTTTTTGGAAGTCTTCTAATCAAAGGAGTTTAATTTTCCTTTACTAATGTAAGAAAGCAAAGTTTTTCTCTGTGTCTACCTGTGACTTTTTAGAAGTAAAATTTATCTTGGATTTTTTTCCTTTTCTTTCTGTCAAGTGGGAGCTACTTAATGCTGATGTAGACTCTGATATATAAAGGAAAAAGTTAAATTTCTCCAGTATTCTATTGACATTTAAGTTGAATTCATTTAACTTGGGAAGGCAGAAGCTTCATGTATTATGGAATTTGGTAGACCTGAAAATGCAGAGATTTTAAAAGACCCTAAAATTACAATTGAGAACTTTTTCAAATTAGATAAAAGCTTTAAATATAGATTTTGTTACTATCCAAATGATGTTTTTAGAGGTAAAATCTGCATTAACTATCTGTTAGTTATTTACTAACAGATCACTGCTAAGTTTGGTGCCTTAAGACAACATTTATTACCTTACAGTTTCTGAGGGCCAGGAGCTTGGGCACAGCCAAGTTGTGCCCTGTGGCTTTAGGCCTCTCAACACTAAAATCTAGGTGTGGGCTAGAGCTGCAGCCTGTACAAGGCATGTCTGAGGGTCCATCTGTTTCCAGCCTTGCTCAAGTGATGGTTGGCAGGATTTTGATTTCTGCAGGCTATTGGCCCGAGGCTTCCTTCAGTTTCTTGCTAAGTGGCCTCACCATGGGTGCACTTACATTATTGCTGCTGGCTTCATCATAGCAGCAGCTAGAGGGCAAGAGGGAGTACTAGGTCCAGCCCCCTCAAGAAAGGAGGTTACACAAGGTGTGAATACCAGCAGGCAGGAATCTTTGGGACCATCTATCTCAGAAAGCTGCCCACCCCTGTCCACTCTAGCACCCCCAATAATTCATGTCCCTCCCCTATGCAAAATACTGTCTCCCAAGATTTCCAATTATAGCATTATAATTACTCCATTATAGCATCAGTTCAGAGTCCAGAATCTTGTCATCTAAATAAGTTCTAGGTGTAAGTGAAGCTCCTTGGGTTTCATTCTTTAAATGTGCACAGCTCATAGGGCATTTCAGTTAATTTCTTGTTTCTGTAACACCAGGGCCTTCTCTCTGTACTTCACTTTGTGAAGCAATGACTAGGTACTCTGATCCACATAGAGTTCTGTGTAGGAAGATCAGCCCAGATCTGTGTTAGCCTGTAAACACTGCTGTGTTAGAGAGCACTATTTGTGATAGCTGTTTTTGTCAGTGATTGCACTTATAATACATTGACATGTAGTTAAGTTCAGTGCTAGGTTATTGATTAGACTGGAATCTGACCATAGGGCTTATTTTTAATACCTGGACTTGCTTACCAATATGAGGGGAAATGCCCTTTAGTTTGTTTTTCTATAATAAGCTACATGGAAAAAGTTGATTTTTCTGTTGCTTTGTGTAATAGAATATGCTGCTTTATAAGTTCACTACTTGTTTTGTACCTATATGAATGCACATTTAGGAATACACTTTTTTTGAGAAATGAGTATATTTTCAAAGGTTCAAGCCTAATGAATTTTAATTGCAGTTTAATTTGAAATGACTTAACCATTTTGTCAGTATTTTTACCGATTGCATTTTTCTGACCATTGTGCCACTGAAATTCATCTGCAGTGTTCTAAAACTGTTTAAAAACCAAAACTAGTTTTTGTAGGTAGTCATACAAAGAAACTTCATGTTAAAGAAGAGAGAAAATGAATATTTTAAAATAGAGTGGGATATAGAATCTTCTATTTCTTTCTAGTACTTTAATAAATGGATATTATCAATAAATTAAACTCAGATTCCACTCTGTATCTTTAAAAAACTTACACTAGACAGACTATCTGAAAACTCACTTCACCTGTTAGAATAGAATTGTTTTTGGTTCAGTAAGAAAGCAGTTGAGCCTCTGGGCATGGTATCATTGGAACCTCATGAATTGGCTGGTAGACGGCGTCCCTCTACACCTGAGTATGTGCAATAGAATCTATAAAAGCAAATTGCTGAATAACTCAACACCTATAAAACCCACACTTTCATGCCACCTGCTTTTTACTTTTTGGTGTCTGAGGAGTGTGTGTGTGTTGATGTGTATGTGTGTGTATGTGTTCATCTAGTTATCCTCTCCCTCACTTTTTTTCTGAGTCCATGTCAGTAACTGGTGTATTCTACAGGGAATGTTGCAAATATGTTCCTCTGTTCACAATGAGAGCTTTGTATTTATTCATGAAGATACTTGGAGCTAAATGACACTAACACCCCTTCCAGTGATTTAAAAAATGCCTTTGACTAAAGCAGAATTGTGGAGCCCATTTATCTTTGGCTTCCCCAGCCTTCCTATTCTTTGTTCTCCTCTGAATACCCAGACCCTATAGTTGCCTTTGTTTGGGGTATGGTGGTATTGGGCCAATTAATTGAAATGACACAGGACAGGATGAGAGGGACTAGGACCTGGAATCACATGGTTTGCTAGGACTTGGGAAGCACTGGGGCTACAGGGTGAACTGCAGAATCTGGAAGATACTTTGAGCCCAGACCCATAGATGGCTGCTAATGTGGACAGGTGATCACTCAGGCTGCTTGTGCCCACCCCCAAAGCCTTCCTTTGACTAACTCCCACGTGAGTTAGTGAATGCTTGGCTCCAGGTGGGTGGAACATATCACCATAGAATGTGGAAATGGACAATATATTTGCAAATTCCAACACAAGTTATTATCCCTTCACTGTGATTAACATCTTGTCATTATTAATATTTATTTAGCTCTTATTTAATGGGTATGATATGTACACATGAGGAAGCTGAGGCCTGTAGAGGTTAATTCACACACCTAAAGCCACATAGCTGGAAAGAGGCAGTCGAGTTTTCATCTCCATATGTCTGACTCCAGAGTTTGAGATCTGTTTTGCTCTGGACATGGAAGCATGAACTCAGATAGTAGGGCTCCAGTCTTCTTGGGCATGTGACAAGAGCAAGGTGGGTTCCTGTTCCTACAATAGGATTCTGGGAAAGATACCAGGATGAGTACTGATGGCCAGGTGAGATAGCAATGGTTTGCAGAGCAAAAGTGGATGGTAGAGACTGGGTCTTTAACAGAGTAAGAGCAGGCAGTGTGAGACAGGGAGTATTGACTTAGAACTCTAAATTATTTCTGCTCCAAGTCAGGAGTGGGCCCAGAGTGGGAGTGGGCTGAACTTCTAGGCGGGGCTGGCAGCCGCTGGCAGAGAAGGGGTACAATGGGAGAGGACTATACAGTGGGAGGCAATCTTTTCTGCTTGCCTTTAAAAAACCTATTAGGAAAAGATTTGAAATGGAGTCATATTGTAATGGAAACTCCTGAAAGAATTATTTGCATTTTACCAGAGATTAAAATTAAGAGTGCAAAGCTTTATTTGCTCATTCAACACCAGCCAGCAGGTGGGGAAGTGGTTTGAGGGTGGGAGTCTGTTGGTGGTGGTGGCCTTCCTGGAAATTTTGTAGTCATATCTATTGCTTGTGCCATGGTTGAAACTATCAATTTAAGAACTTTGCTATTTCAACACTAGCCAGCAGCTTAGGGATTGATGTGGGGGAGATTAGGGGCAGGCAGTGGACTTGGTTGCTGGGCCTTCCTGGAAACTTTGAAATTACACCATATAAGGTTAACCCCCTTTGCTTGTAGTTGCATTTGCTACCCTAATAATTTTTCTATCAGACATTTATAGCAGCACTAGAACAACCTCAGAAACTTATTTTGATGCCATGAAAAATCATTTTGGAACTTCAAAGCAAATCAATATAACAAATATGATTACTCTAGGGAAAAAACAAGATTTTGTTTTCATGGGAATGACCTTGGTGATAATGAAGGAAGAACAACACAGGAAACATACACTATGCTGTGACAGCAGATTCATTTCTAATGGAATATTTCTCAGTATTTCCCATGAAACATGAATCATAGATCTTGAAGAGGCCACAAAAAGTCATAGTTTATTTCTCACTTGGAGGCTGCACTATACCTATGGCATCCTAGAGAAAAGATTTTTCTTTCCTAGGCCAGATGAAGGTGTATAAAGAGCTAATTGTTAGGGAACAGAGGAATCCCAGCAATCAGTATGAATTCTTGCCTTTGCTTAAAGTCAGGAATTAATAGTGGGCAGCTGCAGGTCTCTCCCATTATTTTCATATCCTTGTCTGGGCTGAGGTGCTGGCAATGCAGCCTTCCTTCCTGCCCACACATGCTGCCTTTTTATCTGGGCCATTTCTCTGCTCCCTGAAAGATCCTTCAGCCAAAACAAATACCACACTTCCTTTAAAGCTCTGGTCTGTCTCCTCTAGGAGCCATCCTGGACCACTCCGTTTCATTCTGACCTTTCTCTGAATTTCTGGGGGGAAATTCACCTTCAGGTGAAGGTAGCAGTACATGTAACAGCCTGGCTATATGCACAAACCTTTCCTTAGCCCTTGAATTAGACTGTGAACTCGGCTGCGATAGGAAACAGTGCCCTCCACCCTACGGCCCAGCACACAGCCTGATGATGATAATTAATGACTAGGCCCTTGACTGGCTGTGGGCATTACATCAAATGCGATGATTTTTCTTTTAAATTTTAGTATTGTCCCAGGAGCTTAAAGATGGTTTAGTCAAGTGCTTTTAGTAGTTTCAAAAGTCTCTGTACAAGAACTTTCAAATCCAAATACATTGATAATTGAAGCTAATCTGTTTGCTATAGAGAAACATTTAGAGTCTGAAAAACTTCCATTTTGACCCTGTGGTAATACTGCAGCTTTCATTTGTGTTTTAAGACTGCTACATGCAAATGAGAGCCTGAAGAAAACAGTTGAATGTCATGGTGCTTCCATAAGATAAAACAGGTTAAAAAGATGTTTGGAAATCACCCTTATTCTAGTAATAATATTAAAGATAGTTAATCACTAACTTTTTTTTTGCCCACAATAATTTAGATGTCTTTAAGAGACAGTTGGCCCTGCTGACTTAGGGTTAAGTT